ACCTCGGATCGAAGCCACCAAGTAAAAGGAAGCTTCTTGGAGTGCAAGCAACTTCTCCAACAGCTATATTCTTCCCACCTACCTTATTAAATGCATAGGCTCCCACCCCTCTTGCATGTTTAGCATTTAATCACAAAAGAGTTGTTGAAGTTTCTACTATTTATATGTGTATTTTGATATGTAAAATTCAGATTTGGTGAATGAAATTCGAGCTTATGCTTGAGACTTTGTTTGTTGAGAATTTTCTCCAAACTATCTTTCCGTTGGTGTGTCCGACGACGAGCTTCGGTGTGTCCGAGTTTTCTTTTCGGTTTGTCCGAATATTATCTATATTTTACCCTTGTTTCGACTTTGGCTTGAGTTCGAGAGCCTTCATAGAAGTGCCGGTGATTGAGCCATCGTCCCGTAATTCCCCTTCGATTCCATCTATTTCCCAAGAGTGAATTTACGTCGAGCATCGCTTGATCCGTGACTGATTCCGAGGACCACCCTTCCCCTTCGAACACCATACCCAATCGAAAGTCGAGAGCCTTCTCCGTAAAGTGCGTGAGACTGCGATTCGGCCTTGTTCCATCCTCTCCGAGTCAAGGCGTGTATCATTTTGGTATCAGAGCTTGCTCGAGCCAACGGACGTCTAACCCCGGTGAGATCTATCCTTTATTTCAGTTTATTTCGTAAATAAGTTTTGAGGGCAAAACCCGGAGAAGCGAGAGGGAATGATGAGGACAAAACTCTTGAAGAGAGAGGGAATGATGAGGACATCGGACCCAACAACATCTCGAAACGAAGATCTTGACAGAAGCATACCTCGGATCGAAGCCACCAAGTAAAAGGAAGCTTCTTGGAGTGCAAGCAACTTTTCCAACAGCTATATTCTTCCCACCTACCTTATTAAATGCATAGGCTCCCACCCCTCTTGCATGTTTAGCATTTAATCACAAAAGAGTTGTTGAAGTTTCTACTATTTATATGTGTTTTTCATATGTAAAACTCAGATTTGGTGAATGAAATTCGAGCTTATGCTTGAGACTTTGTTTGTTGAGAATTTTCTCCAAACTATCTTTCCGTTGGTGTGTCCGACGACGAGCTTCGGTGTGTCCGAGTTTTCTTTTCGGTTTGTCCGAATATTATCTATATTTTACCCTTGTTTCGACTTTGGCTTGAGTTCGAGAGCCTTCATAGAAGTGCCGGTGATTGAGCCATCGTCCCGTAATTCCCCTTCGATTCCATCTATTTCCCAAGAGTGAATTCGAGCGCCTCCTTCGCGAGTGCCGGTGATTGCAATTGGGCCATCTCTATACAACTCCGAAGCCGGTATCACTCAGTGATGTCTAACTTCATCTTCGCACGAGATGAGCCCAGCAAGATCCACAAAATCGAGTTGGGATATCTCTACGAAGCACTCCGGGAGTTCCATGAAGGACCATCGCTTGACTCATGCGTTCGGGCTCCATGGTCGGATATGGACTTGGCCTCGCGAATAGCTATGCATCTACACACATTGGCCCACACCAAGGCCAGCGAGACATGCATTTGCGTAGGCGGTATGATCACAAAGATAGCCCAACGGGTGGACACAGGAATCACCTTCTTCCAAGCCGACATCGTCGATACCAATATCCTCCTGAACATGGAAGCTCTTCGACTCAGAGGACATATTCGACGAAAGGGGTCCGAATGGGTTTACACGGGAGATGACGGATTGAAGAGATACATAATGCTCCCGAGCAACTCCTTAGAGGTATTCATGCCCGCAACGCTGCGACTAGACTTCCTCGACATCGCTCCAGCTCGAGTAAGAGACCCGAGAGGAAGAAGAGGTGGGGCACCGACCCAAGGCAATGAAGGTCCATCAACATTCGCCCCCGATCCTCGAGTGGACCTCATCCTGCAGAAGGTAGAAAGCTTCGACACCCGTCTCACCACCATCGAAGAGCTAGGCCCCCGACTCACATCGATCGAAGAATCAATGGAGGACCAGTTCTCCACTCTAGAAGCAACCGTCACCGCTTCTATTGAGAGCACTCAGCGTGAGATCATCCGCGCAATGGAGAAAATGATGGATGACGAAGACTCCGACGCGGGAGAATCAGTCCAAGGAAGTGACGCCGAAGCCTCATCCGCATCAGGAACCAACAAGGGGAGCAAGAAGACGGCCCCTTGATTCGATGATCATTAAGATAGAACGCTCTATGCTTCCCGTTGAACTGTGTTTAGACGTTTTTTTTATGACCCGCGACTTATGTTATTCCTTTTGGATCTTTGGGCACTTATATGATGTTTTGACGTGTTTTAAGGGTTATCGATCTTATCGAAAATCGGTTTATGCAGCGTCTCCTCAAATTTTGGCTCGAAAATTTTTCTCACAGACTAAGTGGGCGGACCGCTCGTTTTTTTGAGCGATCGCCCATTTGCAAAATTGGAGAGCGAGCGGACACCCGTGAAAACAGGTGGACCGCAAGCTCCTTTCGAACCTCGAGTATCGAGCGACCGCCTAAGCGGTCGCCTGGAATCATACTTTTCGACTCATTAAAATGAGCGGTCGCTCGCCTTTTCCGGTGGGCTGCCCGTTTTGTCTGACCAATTTCCGATGTTTTTAATTGTTTCAAATGGATTCCAGCAACCGTTGGAGAAGAGCACGGAAATACATTTCGGACACAATACTTGAGTTACAAGACTTCAAGCCACAAAACGCCCACTTTTCAAGTCTTGTGGATGCAATCCGTATTGATGCCGAGCAAGAACACGAGGACTCGATCCAATTTCAACCCCAATCCAACGAGGAGACATTTCTTCTACACCAAATCCAGCAGAGGGGGATTAAGGCTTCAAAATTCGTGCACCATGGCATTCGACCGAAGCAACTCTATGAGAGGATCAAGGGTATATTCCAACTCGCCGGATGGGAACGTCTACACCGCGCCAACCCCCACCATACCATTCATTGACAACAGAATTCGCCTGCACCTTCCAATGTTTCATCCCAAGGAACGCCGACCCTAAGGGTATATTCCAACTCGCCGGATGGGAACGTCTACACCGCGCCAACCCCCACCATACCATTCATTGACAACAGAATTCGCCTGCACCTTCCAATGTTTCATCCCAAGGAACGCCGACCCTCGCAGCAGCTACATCGGATTCCGTTTAGAAGAGCGCCAATACTATCTCAAGATGGAGCAACTCATTCAAATTTTGGGCGTTCAAGCGGGCAACACGGCGACAATCCCGAAGATCACGATCGCCAAGGCTAGAAACTTCTGGAGACAAATAGCGGCCGCGACCTTCACTCCCTGGCAACTTGAGGCCTTCATGATACGACATCCCGGAGTCCGCTGCCTCCAGCAATTCATGGCATCCACCATATTTGCACGCGAGAATACGAATTGCGTCTCCATCACAGAACTAAACATGCTCATGGGACCTCTCCACTTCATGATGAACAACCGTTTAGAGGTTGCGGACGTCGCGTCAAGGGTAGGACTGCATATGCACAAGGTAATTACCTCAACCACCGAGCCAATTTGTTTTGGAGGAATCGTAACCATGATTGCAGAGCGAGTGGGTGTCGATCTTAGAGCATATGCACATGATTTCATCCACGGGGACAAGATCAACTACATGCATCTTTTGGAGAACAACTTTGTCAAAGAACAAAACGGGGACATACTATGGTGGTTCATGGACGTCGAGAGTAGGTATCGATCATTCGACATGGCCTATTTTGTGCTACCTCCTCTCACCGAAGAAGGAATCCGTTTTGAAGTATCATCAGAACTCGGCACAGACTCTAGACAAGAGTCCTCATCCCACGGGTCCTACTAAAGGCCCGCTCGGTCCTCTCTCTTAACTCTCACCCCTTTGCATTCACCTTAGCTAACATTCCATAGCATTGTAGCCTTCTCACATCGCATAGGTTTCATAGACTCATGACACCCGCAAAAAGATAAATTGGAGTGCAACTCCACCTCATCGTAAAAAGGTAACACACTCAACCACTTCAACCCATCCATTCCTTATTTCCTCTTTGGCATCTCCCCGCTAGGCGAGAGTTAACACCATGGATGGTATTTGATTCAAGTCTGGGGGGAGGAGTGCCACTAACGTACATCGTACCCATGAACCCTACACATCATGCATCACTTGCACTTAGAATCACGCATTCCATATTCATCGAAAAAAAAAACGTCTTGCATATGTACATATAGGTCTACTTGCATGGATTGTCATTAATAGGTTGCATACGTGCATATATGTCTAGAAATGCATGCATACATTTGCATAAGGTTTTTCCACCTCAAAGGTTTAGCCCGATGATGATGTGGGGATATAGAGTGAAGATTGGCTTGGAAAGGTTTTAGGAGCTAAGATTAGATTTATCTAAAGCGTTGAACAGATTGTCGAGTGAAGTATAAATAGTTGATCCAATCCTAGAACGAATGAATGTCGCGTGAGATGATTTTGTTTCCTAAAGTCTAGATGGAGTAGAGGTTACGAACCAAGCGCCAAATTCTCCCTAAAAACCACCTTTTTTTTTACTTCTAGGTTAAGAAGCCTATAGGTAGCAACAAGCCCGAGAAAATACGATGTGTCCCGACACTCCTCTGTCATCTACTCGTTAATGAAAATCATTCGGGGACATGAGTGCGTCGGAAACGAAGGCTCGGGTCTAAGTTGTGGGACAAGGACACCAAAAAAAAAGAAGAAGAAAAGAGTGATCTTGTCAAATTCCAACGTCCTACAAGCTCGGGACTACATCGCATGAAATGAAAAAAAAAAGGGAGAAAAAGAGAAGAAGAAAAAAAAAAGAACACGAGACACGAATAAAAAGAAAGATATGGGGCAAATGAAAACAATGAAGTTATAGGTCTCATTTGGGATGTGTTTAGGAGATATGTTCGGCAAGTAGAATCACTTCACTTTGGATCGCAGGAAGCAATAGAAATCTCATTGATAAGCTTTCGTTTGAATGTTGGAGAAGATAAAGTATACCAAACTCGATTTCGTTTGTAGCAATTTTAACCCGTATAACCAACCCACTCGAAACCCCTGTTTGTACTCCGAATATATCTTATCACCCCTTGCATAGTTTTATACGTACCTTTACTAGAGAACGAACAAACCTCAAGTCTGGGGGGATTTGATCACACGGTTTTTCCACCGGTTTTTCTAACGTCATACACTTTGATTTTTCTCATATTTTAGGCATAATAGGACGTTAGACGGTCATGGGTAGGATTCTTTCCCCCATTTTCCTTGCAGGATGACCGAACGAGGATATTTGCGCACGAGGCACGGGAAAGGAGCGAAATCGAGAAGTTATTGGGAACTCGGAGAATATGAGAGGCCCGCCCATCTAGCCGAGCGGTCGCTCAGTGTCAGAATCTTGGGACCAGGCGGCCCGTTCGTTAAACCAGGCGGTCGTTCTATGCCATTACGGAGAATGAGCGGTCGCTCATTACACCAGGCGGTCGCATCGAATTGCAAAGAAGAACGAGCGGTCGCTCGTAAATATGAGCGGTCGCTCACCCTGTAGAAAACGGGCGACACTGAAGAGAAAATGGGCGACCCTGAACAAAAAGTGAGCGACCGCCTGATATCAAATCCGGCCCAAAAAAGAAAAGCTCGATTTTTTAGGAGAAATCTACCTGGAGCACTTGCATAAAAAGGGGAGTTTGATGAGAGAGAAGGGGGACTCAACCCTTTTGAAGGAAATCACCTTGGAGAAGAGGCAAGAGAGATTTGGAGACCTCGGGAAACATCTTGAAGGAGGAGACCACCATTGAAGACCATCTTAAGCTTTTATTCTCCTTTTCTATGTTTTCCCTTTTTGTTTTCTGTTTTGATCCTCTAGTTATGGAGTAATGACTTTGTTGTGGGTGAGGGATCCCCACTTTTGTATGGACACCAATACCTATCTATGATGCTTTTGAGTTCTCTTCCATGGGTTTGATGTTTTGTGCTTAATGCTATTGATTTGGATGAACCCCTAATCGATATGACC